GTGTACACAACTTGTTTGTTTCGTATAGTAATAAATTTCATAGTAAAACAGCTATCTGGTTTCAGCAAACTATTTTCTTTTTCATATGTTTTTTGTACTATCGCATTATATTATTAATAACGGTAATTTGCAAAACAAAATAGTTTCCAATATAAAAAAAATATTTCCAGGATTCTTACGGCAAATGATTGATTTTGTTTTCAAAGTAAAAATACATATTTCTTATTCTCATTTTTTACCAGGATCTGATTGATAAATATATAAATATCGTTCGAACCACTATTTAATTTTCTGATAATTTTTGGACTATCTGTATGCGATCTTAAAACCATCAAAATTGTCTGATAAACAAGAAACTTAAAAAATGCCTAAATTTATTTTATCATCACATTGAATAATTATCATGAGTTCACATTATATTATTTGGGCAGGAAACTAACAGCCAGAATGACATTGTTGCCTGCCTACAATATCATTCAATGCATATTTTTTAAATAAATCAAGTTTAAGTTTCGACACACCTTTATTTTATGCATGGTGACATGATCTTTATCGCAATGACGAAGATCATATGAGAAAGTGCAGCTCGTTTTTATTCTCGTATGTGTAACTATACCTATAATAATCTTCCTGGGCATGTCTCACAATCAGTACTCAACCACACCCCAACATTTTTTCTGTGTCTCAAAATTATTATCGAGTGCTGGCCATGTCTCTTCGGTATGATCGATTCAGAAACCACTTGTTCTGAATTCGATACCCACCTTGGCCAGTTTGTCTCAAACAGTAGTGGTATCAGATTTTTATTTCTCAAACATGCGGTCTTTTAGTGCATTGCTGCAATATTTGTTCACAACACAATTAGGAAAATTTTTAACATAATCTTAACAGAACGATAATGTTCAATCACTATGTTGTTTTCTAGAAATATGTAGTAGGGTTTGAGCTTGGGTTTTACTCATCTTCAGTATAAAAAATAATAACAGTTTCAAAAAATAACTAGTGGGGCGCATGGCATCGAGCCTTAAGGCAAATTGCTGCAACATTCCGTACCGTTATTTAACATTCGAAGAATAAAAATAATCAGTTCGACTGGATTCATATCCGGCCGGAGTCATATCCGAGCGGAGTCATATCCGAGCGGAGTCATATCCGACTGGAGTCATATCCGAGCGGAGTCATATCCGACCGGAGTCATATCCGACCGGAGTCATATCCGACCGGAGTCATATCCGACTGGAGTTATTTCCGGTTTTGGACTCCGGTCGGATATGATTCCGGTCGGATATGATTCCGGTCGGATACGACTCCGGTCGGATATAACTCCGGTCGGATATAACTCCGGTCAGATATGACTCCGGTCGGATATAACTCCGTTAGGATATGACTCCGGTCGGATATAACTCCGGTCGAATATAACTCCGGTCGGATATGACTCCGGTCGGATATAACTCCGGTCGAATATAACTCCGCTCGGATATAACTCCGGTCGGATATAACTCCGCCCGGATATGACTCCGCTCGGATATGACTCCGCTCGGATACGACTCCGCTCGGATATAACTCAGGCCGGATATAACTCCGGTCGGATATAACTCCGGTCGGATATGATTCCGGTCGGATATGACTCCGGCCGGATATAACTCCGGTCCGATATGACGCCGGCCGGATATAACTCCGGTCGGATATAACTCTGGTCAATTATGACTCCAGTCGGATATGACTCCGGTCGGATATAACTCCGCTCGGATATAACTCCGCTCGGATATAACTCCGCTCGGATATAACTCCGCTCGGATATAACTCCGGTCGGATATGACTCCGGTCGGATATAACTCCGGTCGGATATAACTCCGGTCGGATATGACTCAGCTCGGATATGACTCAGCTCGGATATAACTCCGGTCGGATATGACTCCGGTCGGATATAACTCCGGTCGGATATAACTCCGGTCGGATATGATTCCGGCCGGATATAACTCCGGTCGGATATGACTCCGGTCGGATATGACTCCGGCCGGATATAACTCCGGTCGGATTTGACTCCGGCCGGATATAACTCCGGTCGGATATAACTCCGGTCGGATATAACTTTAGTCGGATATGATTACAATCGGATATGACTCCGCTCGGATATAACTCCGGTCGGATATGACTCCGCTCGGATATAACTCCGGTCGGATATAACTCCGCTCGGATATGACTCCGGTCGGATATGACTCCGGTCGTATATGACTCCGGTCGGTTATAACTCCGGTCGGATATGATTCCGGCCGGATATAACTCCGGTGGGATATGATTCCGGTCGGATATAACTCCGGTCGGATATGATTCCGGCCGGATATGATTCCGGCCGGATATAACTCCGGTCGGATATAACTCCGGTCGGATATGACTCCGGTTGGATATAACTCCGGTCGGATATGACTCCGCTTGGATATGACTCCGGTCGGATATGACTCCGGTCGGATATAACTCCGGTCGGATATAACTCCGGTCGGATATGACTCCGGTCGGATATAACTCCGGCCGGATATGACTCCAGTCGGATATGACTCCGGTCGGATATAACTCTAGTCGGATATAACTCCGGTCGGATATGACCCCGGTCGAATATGACTCCGGTCGGATATGACTCCGGTCGGATATAACTCCGGTCGGATATGATTCCGGCCGGATATAACTCCGGTCGGATATAACTCCGGTCGGATATGACTCCGGTCGGATATAACTCCGGTCGGATATGACTCCGTTCGGATATGACTCCGCTCGGATGCGACTCCGTTCAGATATGACCCCGCTTGAATATGACTCCGCTCGGATATGACTACGTCTGGATATAACTCCGGCCGGATATGACTCCGTTTGGATACGACTCCGCTCGGATATAACTCCGGTCGGATATGACTCCGCTCGGATGTGACTCCGTTCAGATATGACCCCGCTTGAATGACTCCGCTCGGATATGACTACGTCTGGATATAACTCCGGCCGGATATGACTCCGTTTGGATACGACTCCGCTCGGATATAAATCCGGTCG